AAATTAGATTTTTTAAGGACCACCTATCAACGATGATCGATTTTTAAAAACAATATTTTTAAAGAGATTTTTATTTGCAATATTTTCTTAAGGACTTTTTGTCAAATTAAATTTTTTAAGGACCCCCTATCAACGTTGATCGATTTTTAAAAACAATATTTTTAAGGACTATTAAAAAAGGAGTTTTTTAATATTATCTCCAGGACAATCTATCAACGTAGATTATTAAAAAATAATTTTTAAAACCCATCTATTGACGTGCATTTTTTGAAATATTTTTTCAGGATTTAATATTTTTTAAATATTTTTATAAAAAAATATTTTTGAGGTCTATTTGGAAGGGGGATTTTTTTAAAATATTTTTTATAAACTATCAACAACGTGTATTTTTTATTTTTTTTCTTTTTTTTGGGTTTATTCATTTTTCTATTTTGCCATTATTTAGCCTTTTCTTCGTTTCCTTCCGTAACCTCCTCCATGGCCACCAAAACCATTTACGCTTATGCTTAAGTTATCCAGTGAAAATTGAGGTCTTGCTGTGATATGTTCCGCGAAAAATGCCAGCATCATCACCAAAATGGCAACTGTGTAGAAATGCGGGAACTTCATAGTCTTCCAAAAATTAAAAAAAAAAAAATAAAATAAAATAAAAAACTCTGCGGATCACGGCGCAATTACCGATCACTTATATAGTTTTGGAATTGGCGTTATTAAATTGTCTTAAAAAAATATGAAAATGTTTGAATATTTTAAGTTTTAATTTTCAGATCGAATTCCATGGCACGTCCATTAAATGCCAATTGGCATAAATATAGTTTATTTATTGAAATTCACTTCATAGAGTAACATGGCCTGTGAAATGGAGACCTATAGAGTGTGGCTGAGACTATTCTACATGACCCTGGTCATTGGGTCTGCCATTGCTAAGCCCAGTGATGTAAGTGAGCATCCATTTTTTATTTCCAAAAATTTTGCCTCAATTTCTCAATTTCTTCAGAATTGGTTTCCCATGTGGCCGATAGATTAGAAAGTATATCCTACCTGCATCAAATATTTGAAATTTTGACGAATATTTTTACATACCTGGAAAAAAGAGAGAGAAAATATAAATAAATATCTATAAAAAAATAAACAGGTTCAAAATATTTTTTCAATTTTTTTAAAAGGGGATTTTTAAAAATATTTTTTCGAGGCTGTTCTCCAAACGTGGATTTTTAAAAATATTTTTTAAAGGTCCATCCACAAACGTGGATTTTTTAAAAATATTTTTCAAAGGGTTATCTATAAACGTGGATTTTTTAAAAATTTTTTTTCGAGGCTGATCTCTAAACGTGGATTTTTTAAAAATATTTTTCAAAGGTTATCCACAAATGTGGATTTTTTAAAAATATTTTTTCAAGGGTTATCCACAAACGTGGATTTTTTAAAAATATTTTTTCGAGGCTTCTCTCTAAACGTGGATTTAAAAAAAAATTCGAGGCTAATCTCTAAACGTGGATTTTTTAGAAATATTTTTTCTGGGGTTATCTATAAACGTGTATTTTTTAAAAATATTTTTTCAAGGGTTATCTATAAACGTGGATTTTTTAAAAATATTTTTTCAAGGGTTATCCACAAACGTGGATTTTTTAAAAATATTTTTTCAAGGGTTATCCACAAACGTGGATTTTTTAAAAATATTTTTCAAGGGTTATCTATAAACGTGTATTTTTTTTAAAAATATCTTTTTAAGGGTTATCTATAAACGTAGATTTTTTTAAAAATATTTTTTCATAAACCGTGAATTTTTAAAAATATTTTTTCAAGGGTTATCTATAAACCGTGAATTTTTAAAAATATTTTTTCAAACGTTATTCACAAATCGTGAATTTTTAAAAATATTTCTTCAAACGTTACCTATAAACGTGGATTTTTTAAAAATATTTTTCAAAGGCCCATTTATAGATGTGGATTTTTATAAAATATTTTTTCAAATGTCCATTTTCAGACGTGGATTTTTTAAAAATATTTTTTTCCAAGGCTGATCTTTAGACGTGGATTTTTTAAAAATATTTTTTCAAGGTCCATTTATAGAGGTGGATTTTTTAAAAATATTTTTTTCCAAGGCTGATCTTTAGATGTGGATTTTTTAAAAATATTGTTTTCCAAGGCTGATATTTAGATGTGGATTTTTTACAAATATTTTTTCAAGGTCCATTTATAGACGTGGATTTTTTAAAAATATTTTTTCCAAGGCCTATTTATATACATGGACTTTTTAAAAATATTTTTCATTGGTTATCCACAAACGTGGATTTTTTAAAAATATTTTTTCAAGAGTTATCCACAAACGTAGATTTTTTAAAAATATTTTTTCAAGGGTTATCCACAAACGTGGATTTTTTAAAAATATTTTTTCAAGGGTTATCCACAAACGTGGATTTTTTAAAAATATTTTTTCAAGGGTTATCCACAAACGTGAATTTTTTAAAAATATTTTTTCAGGGGTTATCCACAAACGTGGATTTTTTAAAAATATTTCTTCAAGGGTTATCCACAAACGTGGATTTTTTAAAAATATTTTTCAGAGGTTCATCCACAAACGTGGATTTATTAAAAATATTTTTTCAAGGGTTATCCAAAAACGTGGATTTTTTAAAAATATTTTTGAGAGATTCATCCACAAACGTGGATTTTTTAAAAATATTTTTTCAAGGGTTATCCACAAACGTGGATTTTTTAAAAATATTTTTTCAAGGGTTATCCACAAACGTGGATTTTTTAAAAATATTTTTTCAAGGGTTATCCACAAACGTGGATTTTTTAAAAATATTTTTTCAAGGGTTATCCACAAACGTGGATTTTTTAAAAATATTTTTTCAAGGGTTATCCACAAACATGGATTTTTTAAAAATATCTTTTCAAGGGTTATTCACAAACGTGGATTTTTTAAAAATATTTTTTCAAGGGTTATCCACAAACGTGGATTTTTTAAAAATATTTTTTCAAGGGTTATCCACAAACGTGGATTTTTTAAAAATATTTTTTCAAGGGTTATCCACAAACGTGGATTTTTTAAAAATATTTTTTCAAGGCTCATCCATAAACGTGGATTTTTTAAATATATTTTTGAGAGGTTTATCTCCAAACGTGGATTTTTTAAAAATATTTTTTCGAGGCTTATCTCTAAACGTAGATTTTTTAAAAAAATTTTTTCGAGGCTTATCTCCAAACGTGGATTTTTTAAAAATATTTTTTCAAGGGTTATCCACAAACGTGGATTTTTTAAAAATATTTTTTCAAGGGTTATCCACAAACGTGGATTTTTTAAAAATATTTTGATTTATCCACAAACGTGGATTTTTTCCACAACGTGGATTTTTTAAACATATTTTTTCGAGGCTTATCTCTAAACGTGGATTTTTTAAAAATATTTTTTCGAGGCTTATCTCTAAACGTGGATTTTTTAAAAATAGTTTTTCAAGGGTTATCCACAAACGTGGATTTTTTAAACATATTTTTTCGAGGCTTATCTCTAAACGTGGATTTTTTAAAAATATTTTTTCGAGGCTTATCTCTAAACGTGGATTTTTTAAAAATATTTTTTCAAGGGTTATCCACAAACGTGGATTTTTTAAAAATATTTTTGAGAGGGTTATCCATAAACGTGGATTTTTTAAAAACATTTTTTCGAGGCTTATCTCTAAACGTGGATTTTTTAAAAATATTTTTGAGAGGGTTATCCATAAACGTAGATTTTTTAAAAATATTTTTGAGAGACTTATCTCTAAACGTGGATTTTTTAAAAATATTTTTGAGAGGGTTATCCATAAACGTGGATTTTTTAAAAACATTTTTTCGAGGCTTATCTCTAAACGTGGATTTTTTTAAAAATATTTTTGAGAGGGTTATCCATAAACGTGGATTTTTTAAAAACATTTTTTCGAGGCTTATCTCTAAACGTGGATTTTTTAAAAATATTTTTGAGAGGGTTATCCATAAACGTGGATTTTTTAAAAATATTTTTGAGAGGCTTTTCTCTAAACGTGGATTTTTTAAAAATATTTTTGAGAGGGTTATCCATAAACGTGGATTTTTTAAAAATATTTTTGAGAGGCTTATTTCTAAACGTGGATTTTTTAAAAATATTTTTTCGAGGGTTATCCACAAACGTGGATTTTTTAAAAATATTTTTTCAAGGGTTATCCACAAACGTGGATTTTTTAAAAATATTTTTTCAAAGGGTTATCCACAAACGTGGATTTTTTAAAAATATTTTTTCAAGGGTTATCCACAAACGTGGATTTTTTAAAAATAGTTTTTCAAGGGTTATCCACAAACGTGGATTTTTTAAAAATAGTTTTTCAAGGGTTATCCACAAACGTGGATTTTTTAAAAATAGTTTTTCAAGGGTTATCCACAAACGTGGATTTTTTAAAAATAGTTTTTCAAGGGTTATCCACAAACGTGGATTTTTTAAAAATAGTTTTTCAAGGGTTATCCACAAACGTGGATTTTTTAAAAATAGTTTTTCAAGGGTTATCCACAAACGTGGATTTTTTAAAAATAGTTTTTCAAGGGTTATCCACAAACGTGGATTTTTTAAAAATAGTTTTTCAAGGGTTATCCACAAACGTGGATTTTTTAAAAATAGTTTTTCAAGGGTTATCCACAAACGTGGATTTTTTAAAAATAGTTTTTCAAGGGTTATCCACAAACGTGGATTTTTTAAAAATAGTTTTTCAAGGGTTATCCACAAAACGTGGATTTTTTAAAAATATTTTTTAGAGGTCCATCCACAAACGTGATTTTTTAAAAATATTTTTTCCAAAGCCCATTTATAGACGTGGATTTTTTAAAAATATTTTTTCCAAGGCCCATTTATAGACGTGGATTTTTCAAAAATATTTTTTCCAAGGCCCATTTATAGACGTGGATTTTTTAAAAATATTTTTTCCAAGGCCCAATTTTCCAAAATACCCCTTCCCCAATGCGGTGAAAATATTTCAAAACACAGTTAATTTTATTTTCTTTGCATTTTATTCAAAATTTTTAAAGTTGGCAAAGTTTACTTCAACCATTTTCTATTGTTTAAAAACGTTTTGAAAGCTGTTAAAAAATGATAGTAAATTAAATTAAATTCAAATTTGGAATTGCATGACTTACAATAGAGGCGGCAGAGGCATAACCGGCAAACATAGCCATTGCTATGAGACCCAAGGAGAGAAACTTCATTTTTGCTGTTTGGACAAAGAGCTGGTGTTGAACGGAAATATTCAGTAATTTCAAATCATATTCCGGTTTTATTTTATAGGAAAAAATAAAATCAAATACTGGCATTAATTATTCGACAAAAAAATGCGTACCTGACCAGGCATAATTTCCCCAACTGAAATTTATTGAAATTAAATCAAGTCACGTTTTTCATTTTCGCAATGCATGTCAATGGAAAATTATGGATATTCTAAAAAATCCGCGGTTGACAATTTTGTTTCCAAAAAAAATTTCCTATAAAACCAAGAACGTTTTTTTGAAATCTCTATACATCCACAACAACTCGCCGAAATACCAGCACCAAAAATGAAGATTCTACCTTTGGCTTTGATGGCAATCGCTCTGTTCGCCGGCTACGCAACAGCTGAACCTTACGTAAGTTATTCAATAAAATAATAATACCTATGGCTATTAATTTTTTGATAATTCTCATTCCACAGATACCAAAACATGTTCAGATTCCCAGGAAATAATTTCGAAAAATATGACAAAATGTAAAATAAAAAGTTATTGAGCAAATGCAAAAAAAGGAATAATTATTTAAAAAATGGGAGGGCTTAAAAAAACATTTTTGAAAACATCCCCGTCCATAAATGGGCCTTGGAACATATTTTTAAAAAATCCACGTCTATAAATGGGCCATGGAAAATATATATTTTTAAAAAATCTACGTATAGAGACCGGTCTCGAAAAAATATTTTTAAAAAATCCACGTTTAGAGATCGGTCTTGAAAAAATATTTAAAAAAATCCACGTTTATGGATAACCCTTGAAAAAATATTTTTAAAAAATCTACGTTTAGAGATCGGTCTCGAAAAAATATTTTTAAAAAATCTACGTTTAGAGATCGGTCTCGAAAAAATATTTTCAAAAAATCCACGTTTATGGATAACCATTGAAAAAATATTTTCAAAAAATCCACGTTTATGGATAACCCTTGAAAAAATATTTTCAAAAAATCCACGTTTATGGATAACCCTTGAAAAAATATTTTCAAAAAATCCACGTTTGTGAGTGTTCCTCAAAAAAATATTTTTAAAAAATCCACGTTTGTGAGTGGTTTTCTAAAAAATATTTTTAAAATTCCACGATTATAGATAACCCTTGAAAAAATATTTTCAAAAAATCCACGTTTATAGATAACCCTTGAAAAAATATTTTCAAAAAATCCACGTTTATGGATAACCCTTGAAAAAATATTTTCAAAAAATCCACGTTTGTGAGTGTTCCTCAAAAAAATATTTTTAAAAAATCCACGTTTGTGAGTGTTCCTCAAAAAAATATTTTTAAAAAATCCACGTTTGTGAGTGGTCCTCTAAAAAATATTTTTAAAATTCCACGATTATAGATAACCCTTGAAAAAATATTTTAAAAAAATCCACGTTTATAGATAACCCTTGAAAAAATATTTTAAAAAAATCCACGTTTATAGATAACCCTTGAAAAAATATTTTAAAAAAATCCACGTTTATAGATAACCCTTGAAAAAATATTTTAAAAAAATCCACGTTTATAGATAACCCTTGAAAAAATATTTTCAAAAAATCCACGTTTATGGATAACCCTTGAAAAAATATTTTCAAAAAATCCACGTTTATGGATAACCCTTGAAAAAATATTTTCAAAAAATCCACGTTTATGGATAACCCTTGAAAAAATATTTTCAAAAAATCCACGTTTATGGATAATCCTTGAAAAAATATTTTCAAAAAATCCACGTTTATGGATAACCCTTGAAAAAATATTTTCAAAAAATCCACGTTTATGGATAACCCTTGAAAAAATATTTTCAAAAAATCCACGTTGGTGAGTGTTCCTCAAAAAAATATTTTTAAAAAATCCACGTTTGTGAGTGGTCCTCTAAAAAATATTTTTAAAATTCCACGATTATAGATAACCCTTGAAAAAATATTTTAAAAAAATCCACGTTTATAGATAACCCTTGAAAAAATATTTTAAACAAATCCACGTTTATAGATAACCCTTGAAAAAATATTTTAAAAAAATCCACGTTTATAGATAACCCTTGAAAAAATATTTTAAAAAAATCCACGTTTATAGATAACCCTTGAAAAAATATTTTAAAAAAATCCACGTTTATGGATGAGCCTTGAAAAAATATTTTTAAAAAATCCACGTCATAGATAACCATTGAAAAAATATTTTAAAAAAATCCACGTTTATAGATAACCCTTGAAAAAATATTTTAAAAAAATCCACGTTTATAGATAACCCTTGAAAAAATATTTTAAAAAAATCCACGTTTATGGATGAGCCTTGAAAAAATATTTTTAAAAAATCCACGTGTATAGATTACCCTTGAAAAAATATTTTTAAAAAATCCACGTCATAGATAACCCTTGAAAAAATATTTTTAAAATTCCACAATTATAGATAACCCTTGAAAAAATATTTTAAAAAAATCCACGTTTATGGATGAGCCTTGAAAAAATATTTTTAAAAATCCACGTTTATGGATGAGCCTTGAAAAAATATTTTTAAAAATCCACGTTTATGGATGAGCCTTGAAAAAATATTTTTAAAAAATCCACGTTTATGGATGAGCCTTGAAAAAATATTTTTAAAAAATCCACGTTTATGGATGAGCCTTGAAAAAATATTTTTAAAAAATCCACGTTTATGGATGAGCCTTGAAAAAATATTTTTAAAAAATCCACGTTTATGGATGAGCCTTGAAAAAATATTTTTAAAAAATCCACGTTTATGGATGAGCCTTGAAAAAATATTTTTAAAAAATCCACGTTTATGGATGAGCCTTGAAAAAATATTTTTAAAAAATCCACGTTTATGGATGAGCCTTGAAAAAATATTTTTAAAAAATCCACGTTTATGGATGAGCCTTGAAAAAATATTTTTAAAAAATCCACGTTTATGGATGAGCCTTGAAAAAATATTTTTAAAAAATCCACGTTTATGGATGAGCCTTGAAAAAATATTTTTAAAAAATCCACGTTTATGGATGAGCCTTGAAAAAATATTTTTAAAAAATCCACGTTTATGGATGAGCCTTGAAAAAATATTTTTAAAAAATCCACGTTTATGGATGAGCCTTGAAAAAATATTTTTAAAAAATCCATGTTTATGGATGAGCCTTGAAAAAATATTTTTAAAAAATCCACGTTTATGGATGAGCCTTGAAAAAATATTTTTAAAAAATCCACGTTTATGGATGAGCCTTGAAAAAATATTTTTAAAAAATCCACGTTTATGGATGAGCCTTGAAAAAATATTTTTAAAAAATCCACGTTTATGGATGAGCCTTGAAAAAATATTTTTAAAAAATCCACGTTTATGGATGAGCCTTGAAAAAATATTTTTAAAAAATCCACGTTTATGGATGAGCCTTGAAAAAATATTTTTAAAAAATCCACGTTTATGGATGAGCCTTAAAAAATTTTTTTTAAAAAATCCACCTTTATGGATGAGCCTTGAAAAAATATTTTTAAAAAATCCACGTTTATAGATAACCCTTGAAAAAATATTTTTAAAAAATCCACGTTTATGGATGAGCCTTGAAAAAATATTTTTAAAAAATCCACGTTTATGGATGAGCCTTGAAAAAATATTTTTAAAAAATCCACGTTTATGGATGAGCCTTGAAAAAATATTTTTAAAAAATCCACGTTTATGGATGAGCCTTGAAAAAATATTTTTAAAAAATCCACGTTTATGGATGAGCCTTAAAAAATTTTTTTTAAAAAATCCACCTTTATGGATGAGCCTTGAAAAAATATTTTTAAAAAATCCACGTTTATAGATAACCCTTGAAAAAATATTTTTAAAAAATCCACGTTTGTGGATAACCATTGAAAAAATATTTAAAAAAATCCACGTTTATGGATAACACTTGAAAAAATATTTTTAAAAAATTCACGTTTATGGATAACCCATGAAAAAATATTTTTGAAAAATCCACGTTTGTGGATGGACCTCTAAAAAATATTTTTAAAAACCCACGTTTATAGATAACCCTTGAAAAAATATTTAAAAAAATCCACGTTTATAGATAACCCATGAAAAAATATTTAAAAAAAAATCCCCTTGTCTAGATAACCCTTGAAAAAATATTTTTAAAAAATCCACGTTTATAGACAACCCTTGAAAAAATATTTTTAAAAAATCCACGTTTATAGATAACCCTTGAAAAAATATTTTTAAAAAATCCACGTTTATAGATAACCCTTGAAAAAATATTTTTAAAAAATCCACGTTTACAGACAACCCTTGAAAAAATATTTTTAAAAAATCCAAGTTTATAAATAACCCTTGAAAAAATATTTTTAAAAAATCTACGTTTATAGATAACCCTTGAAAAAATATTTTTAAAAAATCCACGTCTATAAATGGGCCTTGGAAAAAATATTTTTAAAAAATCCCCGTTAATAGATAACCCTTAAAAAATATTTTTAAAAAATCCACGTTTGTGGATGGACCTCTAAAAATATTTTTAAAAAATAGATTTTAATATATAACCCCTAAAATTTTTTTTTAAAAATCCACGTTAATAAATAAACCTTGCAAAAACATTTTTAAAAAATCCACGTTTATAGATAACCCTTGAAAAAATATTTTTAAAAAATCCACGTTTGTGGATAACCCTTGAAAAAATATTTAAAAAAATCCACGTTTATGGATTACACTTGAAAAAATATTTTTAAAAAATTCACGTTTATGGATAACCCATGAAAAAATATTTTAAAATAATCCACATTTGTTTATGGAACTTGGAAAAAATATTTTTAAAAAATTCACGTTTGTAGATGGACCTTGGAAAAAATATTTTTAAAAAATCCACGTTTGTAGATGTACCTCTAAAAATATTTTTAAAAAATCCACGTCTATAAATGGGCCTTGGAAAAAATATTTTAAAAGATCCACGTCTATAAATGGGCCTTGGAAAAAATATTTTAAAAAATCCACGTCTATATATGGGCCTTGGAAAAAATATTTTAAAAAATCCACGTTTGTGGATGGACCTTGGAAAAATATTTTTAAAAAATCCACGTTTATGAATGGGCCTTGGAAAAAATATTTTAAAAAATCCACGTTTGTGGATGGACCTCTAAAAATATTTTTGAAAAATCCACTTTTGTCGATGGACCTCTAAAAAATATGTTTAAAAAATCAACGTTAATAGATTACCCTTAAAAATATATTTTTAAAAAATCCACGTTAATATATAAACCTTGAAAAAATATTTTATTTAAATTTATGAATTTTCTTAACACTTATATTTGCAGCACATGTCACAGGAATTTTTCTGAAAAAAAAAAATTATTTCAAATTATCTTAGATTCCAGAATCATTCAAATAATTGCCATGCTCACCAGCTGTGAATAGGGACTCTTTTTGGAGCCGAAAAGCATCAGCATCATAAGGGGTAAGAGTAGCAAAGCCTTTAAACCTGTCATAGTATTGAAGTGAATGGTGTGAGTTTTAGTAATTCGTTAAGGTTTGCGAACCCTATTTTATAGTTTCAACGAAATTCAATAAATCTAGAAATTTGAAACGTGAATATGTGGAGATTTTAAAATTAGATGTGGTTATCAGGCAATTATTACTAAAATATTGTTACACAAAAAAAGTTTTGGCCTTGAGATCCTTGAGAAAAAAATTCCTTAAAAATCCACGTTTATTGGCCTGAGGGTCCTGGAGGAAAAATTATTTAAAAATCCACGTTTATTGGCCTGAGGGTTCTGGAGAAAAAATTATTTAAAATTCCACATTTATTGGCCTTGAGATTCTTGAGAGAAAAATTCTTTAAAAATCCACGTTTATTGGCCTGAGGGTTCTGGAGAAAAAATTCTTTAAAAATCCACGTTTATTGGCCTGAGGGTTCTGGAGAAAAAATTCTTTAAAAATCCACGTTTATTGGCCTGAGGGTTCTGGAGAAAAAATTCTTTAAAAATCCACGTTTATTGGCCTTGAGATCCTTGAGAAAAAATTCTTTAAAAAACCACGTTTATTGGCCTTGAGATCCTTGAGAAAAAAATTCTTTAAAAATCCACGTTTATTGGCCTTGAGATCCTTGAGAAAAAAATTCTTTAAAAATCCACGTTTATTGGCCTGAGGGTCCTGGAGAAAAAATTATTTAAAAATCCACGTTTATTGGCCTGAGGGTTCTGGAGAAAAAATTCTTTAAAAATCCACGTTTATTGGCCTGAGGGTTCTGGAGAAAAAATTCTTTAAAAATCCACGTTTATTGGCCTTGAGATCCTTGAGAAAAAAATTCTTTAAAAATCCACGTTTATTGGCTTTGAGATCCTTGAGAAAAAAATTCTTTAAAAATCCACGTTTATTGGCCTGAGGGTCCTGGAGAAAAAATTATTTAAAAATCCACGTTTATTGGCCTGAGGGTTCTGGAGAAAAAATTCTTTAAAAATCCACGTTTATTGGCCTGAGGGTTCTGGAGAAAAAATTCTTTAAAAATCCACGTTTATTGGCCTTGAGATCCTTGAGAAAAAATTCTTTAAAAAACCACGTTTATTGGCCTTGAGATCCTTGAGAAAAAAATTCTTTAAAAATCCACGTTTATTGGCCTTGAGATCCTTGAGAAAAAAATTCCTTAAAAATCCACGTTTATTGGCCTGAGGGTCCTGGAGAAAAAATTATTTAAAAATCCACATTTATTGGCCTTGAGATCCTTAAGAAAAAAAAAATCTTTAATAATCCACGTTTATTGGCCTTGAGATCCTTGAGAAAAAATTCTTTAAAAATCCATGTTTATTGGCCTTTGAGATCTCTAGGCGAAAAAAATCTTAAAAATCCATGTTTATTGGCCCTTAGATCCTTGAGAAAAAATCTTTCAAAATACACATTTATTGACCTTGAGATCCTTAGGCGAAAAATTCTTTAAAAATCCACGTTTATTGGCCTTGAGAAAAAATTCTTTAAAAATCCACGTTTATTGGCCTTGAGAAAAAATTCTTTAAAAATCCACGTTTATTGGCCTTGAGATCATTGAGAAATTTTTTTTTTAAAATCCACGTTTATTGGCCTTGAGATCCTTGAGAATTTTTTTTTTAAATCCACGTTTATTGGCCTTGAGATCCTTGAGAATTTTTTTTTTTTTTTTAAATCCACGTTTATTGACCTTGAGATCCTTGAGAATTTTTTTTTTAAAATCCACGTTTATTGGCCTTGAGATCCTTGAGAAAATTTGTTTTTAAAAATCCACGTTTATTGGCCTTGAGATCCTTGAGAATTTTTTTTTTTTTTAAAATTCACGTTTATTGGCCTTGAGATCCTTGAGAAAAAAATTCTTTAAAAATCCACGTTTATTGGCCTAGAGATCCTTGGGAGAAAAATTCTTCAAAAATCCACGTTTATTGGCCTTGAGAAAAAAATCTTTAAAAATCCACGTTTATTGGCCTTGAGAAAAAATTCTTTAAAAATGCACGTTTATTGTCCTTGAGATCCTTGAGAAAAAATTCTTTTCACGTCTATTGATCCTTAAGATCCTTGAGAAAAAATTCTTTAAAAAACAATTTTATTGGCCTTTATATCTTTGAGAAAAAATTCTGTAAAAATCCACTTTTATTTTTAATATTTTTTTTATTATTTTTCATATATCAGGGCATTCCGACAATTACATTTGTAGTGGAGCAATTTCTACTTTCCCATTGGCATGTTTTTATTCCTGGCAAATTGTCCTCCCTGGAAGGGAAAAAATTAATTACCAAAAAAAAAAAAAAAAATAAAATCAGTTAACAAACCGGCACAGCAACGGCAGAATGCATTAGAACAATAAAGCCTATAAGGCCCATGGAGTAGGATAGGAAATTCATGGTGTTCGAATTGAATGGAAATTCTGAAAGATTTGATTTCACAAAGGCTTCCCTGGCTTTTATATAACCGATTTGAAGGGAAAATAAAAAAATAATCACAAATTTTTTTAAAACAATTTTATGTGGAACGGAATGTGAAGCACCCGTCAAATAAATTATTTGAATTAGTAATGCCATGGAAATATTTCTTCGGACCGTAACAAAGTTTCGATTTTTTTTTTAAATTAATTTTTTTTAATTTTAAAATGGAAAACCATGCACTTACTTAATAAATATGACCGGAAGATATAATGGTTTAAAGTTCTTCGACAGCCATCATGAATTCGGTACTGAAATATATTTTTATCATACCCCTGATTTGTATTGCAAAAATGTCTCCCCATGGCGTAAGTTTTGAACAATTTTGGGAATATTGTTTTTAATATTAAATAATTTTTATTTTTATTTATTTATTTACTTTTTGGCAGAGAGGAACTTGTAGCAATTGTTGTAGATATGTTTGTTAAATTTATTTTTTTTTAAATATATATTCTTTACAAAAAATAATATAATTCTTTACAAAAATTCTTTACAAAAAAATATTTTTAAAAAATCCACGATTTAAAAATTCTTTACAAAAAAATATTTTTAAAAAATCCACGATTTAAAAATTCTTTACAAAAAAAATATTTTTAAAAAATCCACGATTTAAAAATTCTTTACAAAAAAATATTTTTAAAAAATCCACGCCTATATTGGCCTTGGAAACAATATTTTTAAAAAATCCACGCCTATATTTACCTTGGAAAAAATATTTTTAAAAACTCCACGCCTATATTTACCTTGGAAACAATATTTTTAAAAAATCCACGCCTATATTGGCCTTGGAAACAATATTTTTAAAAAATCCACGCCTATATTGGCCTTGGAAACAATATTTTTAATAAATCCACGCCTATATTGGCCTTGGAAAAAATATTTTTAAAAACTCCACGCCTATATTTACCTTGGAAAAAATATTTTTAAAAAATCCACGATTTAAAAATTCTTTACAAAAAAATATTTTTAAAAAATCCACGATTTAAAAATTCTTTACAAAAAAATATTTTTAAAAAATCCACGATTTAAAAATTCTTTACAAAAAAATATTTTTAAAAAATCCACTCCTATATTGGCCTTGGAAAAATATTTTTAAAAACTCCACGCCTATATTTACCTTGGAAAAAATATTTTTAAAAACTCCACGCCTATATTTACCTTGGAAAAAATATTTTTAAAAAATCCACGCCTCTATTGGTTTTAGAAAAAATATTTTTAAAAAGTCCAGGCCTCTATTGGTTTTGGAAAAAATATTTTTAAAAAAATCCACGCCCTTATTGTTTTTGGAAAAAAATATTTTTTAAAAAATCCACGTCTATAAATTCTTTGGAAAAATTTTTTTTTTAAAAAATCCACGTCTATAAATTCTTTGGAAAAAATATTTTTTTAAAAATCCACGCCTATATTAGTTTTGGAAAAAATATTTTTTAAAAAATCCAAGCCTCTATTGGTTTTGGAAAAATATTTTAATAAATCCACGCCTATGTGGGTTTTGGAAAAAATATTTTTAAAAAATACACGCCTATATTGGCTGTGGAAAAAAATATTTTTAAAAAATCTACGCCTCTATTGGTTTTGGAAAAAAATATTTTTAAAAAATCCACGCCTATATTGGCCTTGGAAAAAATATTTTTAAAAAATCCACGCCTATATTGGCCTTGGAAAAAATATTTTTAAAAAGTCCACGCCTATATTGGCCTTGGAAAAAATATTTTTAAAAAATCCACGCCTCTATTGGTTTTGGAAAAAAATATTTTTAAAAAATCCAGGCCTCTATTGGTTTGGGAAAAAATATTTTTAAAAAAATTCACGCCTTTATTGGTTTTAGAAAAAAATATTTTTAAAAAAAATTCACGCCTCTATTGGTTTTGGAAAAAATATTTTAAAAAAAAAACCACGCCTCTATTGGTTTTGGAAAAATTATTTTTTAAAAATCCACGCCTCTATTGGTTTTGGAAAAAATATTTTTAAAAAAATCCACGCCTATATTGGCCTTGGAAAAACTTTTTTTTTAAAAAAATCCACGCCTATATTGGCTGTGGAAAAAAATATTTTTGAAAAATCCACACAAATATTGGACACAGAAGAAATATTAAAAAAAAATCCACGCTTACATTGGATTTGGAAAAAATATATTTTTATTTTAATAAGTTTTTATATGTTTAGTTTTAGCCGCATACTTTTAGGCAGTCACATCTCAGCCCTTGATTTTTCCATTACGGGGAATACCGCGTGCCTGTAATGAATTATGTAATTGTTTTATATATCACGACTTCGTTGATTGTTCCTGCGAATACCTACTGGCTCAGCCGATGCGGGGTTCGACATAAAGACTAGGGCTACTAAGCCGATCAAAATTGGTAACAGCTGCATGGTGGGATGTGGTGAACTTTGATATAATTTTCCTGTGTTGGGCCTTTATACGGCGTTCTCCCACCATATGAGGCATGACGATGAATAAATTATCTTCGAAAAATGGAAATACGAAAAATTTACAATTTCCATATTTAGTAATTTATTCAGATATTTTCATGTCAATAATTCGAACAAATCGAAATCTCTCCTGTTTTCCAAGTGCAATCACTTGAAACTTAAAACAAAAGTTTCAGTTCAGTTTTAAATAAAAGAAAATGAAGTCACTTCCGATTCTGGGTGTCATGATATCCCTACTCTTCTTTGCGGATCTAACAACTGCCGGGGTCAGTATGAACATGGTCTAAAAATCTCAGGAAATAATCAAAAAAAATTAATTTTTATTTTAGATGAGACCCCAAAGTAGTTCATTCTATAGGAAAATACGAGGCCGCTGAGGAAATACAAAAGAACATCTGAGTAATAAATAAAAATTGGATTCAAATCCATAACAAATTCCAAAAAATTGTTTATATTTTTTAAAATATTTTTAAAAAATCCACGCCTATATTGGCCTAGGAAAAAATATTTTTAAAGGAAACCACGCCTATATTGGCCTAGGAAAAAATATTTTTAAAAGAAACCACGCCTATATTGGCCTAGGAAAAAATATTTTTAAAAGAAAACCACGCCTATATTGGCCTAGGAAAAATATTTTTAAAAGAAACCACGCCTATATTGGCCTAGGAAAAAATATTTTAAAAGAAACCACGCCTATATTGGCCTAGGAAAAAATATTTTAAAAGAAACCACGCCTATATTGGCCTAGGAAAAAATATTTTTAAAAAGAAACCACGCCTATATTGGCCTAGGAAAAATATTTTTAAAAGAAACCACGCCTATATTGGCCTAGGAAAAAATATTTTTAAAAGAAACCACGCCTATATTGGCCTAGGAAAAAATATTTTTAAAAGAAACCACGCCTATATTGGCCTAGGAAAAAAATATTTTAAAAGAAACCACGCCTATATTGGCCTAGGAAAAAATATTTTTAAAAGAAACCACGCCTATATTGGCCTAGGAAAAAATATTTTTAAAAGAAACCACGCCTATATTGGCCTAGGAAAAAATATTTTTAAAAGAAACCACGCCTATATTGGCCTAGGAAAAAATATTTTTAAAAGAAACCACGCCTATATTGGCCTAGGAAAAAATATTTTTAAAAGAAACCACGCCTATATTGGCCTAGGAAAAAATATTTTTAAAAGAAACCACGCCTATATTGGCCTAGGAAAAAATATTTTTAAAAGAAACCACGCCTATATAGACCTTGGAAAAATTAATTTTAAAAAATCCACGCCTATGTAGACCTTGGAAAAATTAATTTTAAAAAATCCACGCCTATGTAGACCTTGGAAAAATTAATTTTAAAAAATCCACGCCTATGTAGACCTTGGAAAAATTAATTTTAAAAAATCCACGCCTATGTAGACCTTGGAAAAATTAATTTTAAAAAATCCACGCCTATGTAGACCTTGGAAAAATTAATTTTAAAAAATCCACGCCTATGTAGACCTTGGAAAAATTAATTTTAAAAAATCCACGCCTATGTAGACCTTGGAAAAATTAATTTTAAAAAATCCACGCCTATGTAGACCTTGGAAAAATTAATTTTAAAAAATCCACGCCTATGTAGACCTTGGAAAAATTAATTTTAAAAAATCCACGCCTATGTAGACCTTGGAAAAATTAATTTTAAAAAATCCACGCCTATGTAGACCTTGGAAAAATTAATTTTAAAAAATCCACGCCTATGTAGACCTTGGAAAAATTAATTTTAAAAAATCCACGCCTATGTAGACCTGGGAAAAATTAATTTTAAAAAAATCTAATTTATGTTAGTTCGTAATTTTTATTTCAATAACACTTTTTAAATTTTCTTTTAATTTTTAATTTTTTTTCTTCATAAATCCTGCTAACGTGCCCTGGTACATTTCCATCCCCTCACGAGACTCTAAAATAGAATTATGTAAAAAAATATAATTTAAAAAGCTTTTATTTCATTTATATCGAAATTCTCACCGGCTCGGCTGTTGTGGTATCCGTGAACAGCACCAATGCTATAAAACTGCCTAAAATGGCGTAGAACTTCATTTTGTGATATTTCGAAATAAAATGAATTTTTTTGTGGAAATAAGTGATTTTTATTACTTCGTTTTGAAAAAAGAGAAGATTTAGAATTCTGCATGACAATATTTGAACAAAAATTTCCGGTAATGAATATTCAGAGGTTATTTTTAAAATTATTTATAAGTTCTGATGTTAATTATTATATTTTATGAGTTTCATGGTTATTTAAAATATTGACCCCTTCCATCCATCTTCAGCCCCTACGTTTTCCCATACGAGAATTACCACGTCCCTGGAAAGAAATATATTTTTGTACAAATTATAATGCGCCTTAATGCGCTCAACATACCGGTTCTGCTGTGGCAGGTCTTGAGATGCAGACTAAGGCTATCAGGCCGATTAAAATTGGTAGTAGCTTCATGATGTTCTGATCATTTGTGGAAACAATTTTTTTAGCCTTTATATGGGTTTTCCCATTTGGCAAGGCCCCTGACCAGGAAAAACGTGATCGCTAATTGATTAGCTCAAATTATTTAAATAAAAACTAAAGCGGATTTAATTTTGTGAAATTAAAAAAAAAAAAATTTGTTAAATTTTATGACCAATTTTTTATGAAAACCTAAATAGGTCTCTATTGTTAATTAGGCAGAAATTTTCGGACAAAAAATTTCGGAAAAATTTCAAAATCAAGCCAAATTTTAATATCTTTCGTTTTCGTTTTCGTTTCCGCAGTCATAAAAAACTCTTTTAATTTCAAAATAAAAATTAAAAATGAAGCTCTTTTCAATCTTTGGCAGTTGTATAGCCTTAGTTATAATGTCGCATCCCTCGTCCGCTGACCCGGTAGGAATTGAGGAAAATATAAAGAATAAAAAAAAAACATTAACCCAATTTTTTGTAGATGCGGGTCAATACTGGAAACGGATTTTATAGAAGAATACCAGGCCGTTAAATAAATATTTAATAAATTGTAAATAAATAAAAATTTGAAAAAATTTTTTTTTAGGAAATCCGGGATTACTTTGTCTTTGAAAAAAATATTTTTAATAAATCCACGCCTATATTGGCCTTGGAAAAAATATTTTTAATAAATCCACGCCTATATTGGCCTTGGAAAAAATATTTTTAATAAATCCACGCCTATATTGGCCTTGGAAAAAATATTTTTAATAAATCCACGCCTATATTGGCCTTGGAAAAAATATTTTTAATAAATCCACGCCTATATTGGCCTTGGAAAAAATATTTTTAATAAATCCACGCCTATATTGGCCTTGGAAAAAATATTTTTAATAAATCCACGCCTATATTGGCCTTGGAAAAAATATTTTTAATAAATCCACGCCTATATTGGCCTTGGAAAAAATATTTTTAATAAATCCACGCCTATATTGGCCTTGGAAAAAATATTTTTAATAAATCCACGCCTATATTGGCCTTGGAAAAAATATTTTTAATAAATCCACGCCTATATTGGCCTTGGAAAAAATATTTTTAATAAATCCACGCCTATATTGGCCTTGGAAAAAATATTTTTAATAAATCCACGCCTATATTGGCCTTGGAAAAAATATTTTTAATAAATCCACGCCTATATTGGCCTTGGAAAAAATATTTTTAATAATCCACGCCTATATGGCCTTGGAAAAAATATTTTTAATAAATCCACGCCTATATTGGCCTTGGAAAAAATATTTTAATAAATCCACGCCTATATTGGCCTTGGAAAAAATATTTTAATAAATCCACGCCTATATTGGCCCTTGGAAAAAATATCCTATATTTGGCCTTGGAAAAAATATTTTTAACTAAATCCACGCCTATATTGGCCTTGGAAAAAATATTTTTAATACATCCACGCCTATATTGGCCTGGAAAAAATATTTTAATAAATCCACAGCCCTATATTGGCCTTGGAAAAATATTTTTTAATAAAGCCACGCCTATATTGGCCTTGGAAAAAATATTTTTAATAAATCCACGCCTATATTGGCCTTGGAAAAATATTTTTAATAAATCCACGCCTATATTGGCCTTGGAAAAAATATTTTTAATAAATCCACGCCTATATTGGCTTGGACAAAATATTTTTAATAAATCCACGCCTATATTGGCCTTGGAAAAATATTTTTAATAAATCCACGCCTATATTGGCCTTGGAAACAATATTTTTAATAAATCCACGCCTATATTGGCCTTGGAAAAATATTTTTAATAAATCCACGCCTATATTGGCCTTGGAAAAAATATTTTTAATAAATCCACGCCTATAATGGCCTTGGAAAAAATATTTTAATAAATCCACGCCTATATTGGCCTTGGAAAAAATATTTTTAATAAATCCACGCCTATATTGGCCTTGGAAAAAATATTTTTAATAAATCCACGCCTATATTGGCCTTGGAAAAAATATTTTTAATAAATCCACGCCTATATTGGCCTTGGAAAAAATATTTTTAATAAATCCACGCCTATATTGGCCTTGGAAAAAATATTTTTAATAAATCCACGCCTATATTGGCCTTGGAAAAATATTTTTAATAAATCCACGCCTATATTGGCCTTGGAAAAAATATTTTAATAAATCCACGCCTATATTGGCCTTGGAAAAAATATTTTTAATAAATCCACGCCTATAATGGCCTTGGAAAAATATTTTTAATAAATCCACGCCTATATTGGCCTTGGAAAAAATATTTTTAATAAATCCACGCCTATATTGGCCTTGGAAAAAATTTTTTTTAATAAATTCACGCCTATATTGGCCTTGGAAAAAATATTTTAAATAAATCCACGCCTATATTGGCCTTGGAAAAAATATTTTAAATAAATCCACGCCTATATTGGCCTTGGAAAAAATATTTTAAATAAATCCACGCCTATATTGGCCTTGGAAAAAATATTTTAAATAAATCCACGCCTATATTGGCCTTGGAAAAAATATTTTTAATAAATCCACGCCTATCGAGGCTTAAAAAAATATTTTTATAAAAACCCACGCCTATATTGTAATTGGAAAAAATATGGTTAAAATCCTTCCTTTGTAGTTTTTAAAAATAAAATATTTCAAAAAATATATGTTAAAATGTCTTGAAATTCCTTTTTATTTGGAAATATTTCAGGTAATAGCTGTAATATACGGTAATATGCTGTATTCCTATCGTCCCGGAATACGCCTATCTCTACGTCCTCCTAAGCGAGAATTGCCGCGTGTCTAAAAAAAATATAATTTCATAAAAAAATATAAATTTTTGGAGGCTATTTCATACCGGCTCGGCGTATGTGAGGCCTGAGAACATCACCAGGGCTATTGAGACGAAAAATATTGGTAACAATTTCATCACTTTAGATATTAAAATTTCGCCACATTTTCTATTCTTTTTATATGTGATTTTTTTTAGATTTTTTCCAAGCAGTATTGCATATTTTATTGGGTCTGTAAAGAATTCAAGGCGTGTCTAAGAATTAGGAACGAAAAATTGCTATTATATTTTTAAATTTCCATAATTTTCATGAAAAGCTAGACTATTAAAAGTCCACTTATGTCTAAAGGTCTGAAAGTATTTTCAGGAAAAAATTAATTTCTTATCCCTCGCTTTGGGTCTTGTGGCGTTGCTCAGTGTATTATACGAATCTCTATAGGAAAAAACTGAACATTAATAATTTTGAAAATATTTTCTTTTTAGGGCGGACAGTTAAATAAAATCAGTATTCTGCAGCTTGGCAAATAAACAAAAAAATTTCAGATTTTTAAATTTCTCACTCACACCTCATGAAATTTCCATCATTCATCCTAAGCCTTGGAGGCTTCCTCTTCTTTCTGAATGCGGCAGCTGCTTCCCTGGTAAGCAGAATAATTTAAAAGGATTTTTATTTTAACAATAAAAAAAAACTTGCTTTTATTTCAGGATGGGCTATTTGTTCGAGGAAAATATTCAAACGCAGGAAAATAGTACCATCCGACAATAAACGGTATTCTTGCCTCATTTAATAAAATAAAAATATGTAACGGATTTTATGAAAATATTTTCCAAGGCCAATAAAGGCGTGGATTTTTTTTAAAAAATATTTTCCAAGCCCAATAAAGGCGTGGATTTTTTTAAAAATGTTTTCAAGGCCAATAAAGATCAAATAGGCGTGGATTTTTAAAAAAATAATTTTTCCATAGACAAAATAGGCGTGGATTTTTTAAAAATATTTTTTTTCAAACAACAAATAGGCGTGGATTTATTAAAAATATTTTTTTCAAACAACAAATAGGCGTGGATTTATTAAAAATATTTTTTTCAAACAACAAATAGGCTTGGATTTATTAAAAATATTTTTTTCAAACAACAAATAGGCGTGGATTTATTAAAAATATTTTTTTCAAACAACAAATAGGCGTGGATTTATTAAAAATATTTTTTTCAAACAACAAATAGGCGTGGATTTATTAAAAATATTTTTTTCAAACAACAAATAGGCTTGGATTTATTAAAAATATTTTTTCCAAAGATCAAATAGGCGTGGATTTATTAAAAATATTTTTCCAAAAATCAAATAGGCGTGGATTTTTTAAAAATATTTTTTCCAATGACCAAATAGGCGTGGATTTTTTAAAAATATTTTTTCCAATGACCAAATAGGCGTGGATTTTTTAAAAATATTTTTTCCAATGACCAAATAGGCGTGGATTTTTTAAAAATATTTTTTCCAATGACCAAATAGGCGTGGATTTTTTAAAAATATTTTTTCCAAAGATCAAATAGGCGTGGATTTTTTAACAATATTTTTCCAAGGCCAATATAGGCGTGCATTTATTAAAAATATTTTTTCCAAGGCCAATATAGGCATGGATTGTTTAAAAATATTTTTTACATAGACCAAATAGGCGTGGATTTTTTAAAAATATTTTTGACATAGACCAAATAGGCGTGCATTTTTTAAAAATATTTTTTACATAGACCAAATAGGCGTGGAGTTTTTAAAAATATTTTTTACATAGACCAAATAGGCGTGGATTTTTTAAAAATATTTTTTACATAGACCAAATAGGCGTGGATTTTTTAAAAATATTTTTTCCAATGACCAAATAGGCGTGGATTTTTTAAAATATTTTTTACATAGACCAAATAGGCGTGGATTTTTTAAAAATATTTTTTCCATAGACCAAATAGGCGTGGATTTTTTAAAAATATTTTTTACATAGACCAAATAGGCGTGGATTTTTCAAAAATATTTTTTACATAGACCAAATAGGCGTGGATTTTTTAAAAATATTTTTTACATAGACCAAATAAGCGTGGATTTTTTAAAAATATTTTTTACATAGACCAAATAGGCGTGGATTTTTTAAAAATATTTTTTCCAATGACCAAATAGGCGTGGATTTTTTAAAAATATTTTTTCCAATGACCAAATAGGCGTGGATTTTTTAAAAATATTTTTTACATAGACCAAATAGGCGTGGATTTTTTAAAAATATTTTTCCAACGACCATCCAAGGCGTGGATTTTTTAAAAATATTTTTCCAACG